ATCAATACTGAAGTCCAAGTGAGTTCCTGGTGGTGGCAGAGGTGGGTGGTGGTTGTGGTGTGTATGTCGGTGAAGCTGCTCATCTTGTCTCACCCCCATAATTCTGGGAAAGTCTACAGTTCAGCCGCATGGCCCTGTGACTTCTATGGCTGCACCCTAAAATCCTGGACACACAAAAACAAAGGCATATCCCATAGCTGCAGCCTCAGCCCTGCCCAACCAAAGCCTCTCTCATACCTTTCAAGGAACCATGAGGACAGGGAGGCCAGCTCAGAGAACAAAAGACAAGAGAAACTACGATCTTACACAGGGCTTGTACAGTAGCTATGACTGGGGGATTTGCTTAGCTCTACGCACCAGGCTTGCATGCAAACACTCAATGACTATGATTGTAAAGGATGAGCTACCAAGATTTAATTAATGAACTATCACCATCACCCCCGAACAGGAAAGTGAAAAGAATTAAAAGGCAAGAGGGAATTGAAGTCAACAGGGGAACCAAGTTGCGATCAACCAGTTCATCTACCAGCTTCTGTATTTCTCACTTCTAATCTTTACTATATAATAGCAGTATAAGTCAAGCAACTAGGTGCTCCTCAGAGTAGGGTCTGTTCTGTTCTACTAGGTTTTAGTATGAACACTGACCCCTTCACACACTGGCATCTGGGAGGACTTCTGGTCTACCACTGTAAGAGGAAGCACTACCTACCAGGAAGCACATGCAAAGAGGCTCAGCATCAACAAAAACACGAGACAGCATTTCACATTCAGCAGGATGGCTCTAATTAAAAAGACAGACACTGGCCCTCCCTGGTGGCACAGCAGGTTGGAGCGCTGCATGCAAAGCTAAGCCAAGCCGTGGCTGCCTCAGTGCGAGTTTGATCCCCATCCTGAAGGTGACCCACGTGGCAGGACGGACCTCTCTTGTCTTGCCCGCTGCTCCCCTCAGCACTGTACTTTGTCAATCTGCCTGTTCTGCTCCCCCCTCTGTTTCTGGTAAATCCACTTCTGGCCTGTACCCTAGTTCTGTATGCATAAATAAATAAAAAATCTTCAAAAAAAAAGACAGACACTAACAAGTACTGTTGTGGAGAAACCGGAACTCCCATCACTACAATGATACAGACACACACATAAACATACATATATACATACACAGATGTATAGGTATACACATATATACATACATACAAACATTGCAAACATTGTAAAACTGTGCAGCTGCTTTGGAACACAGTCTAGAACAGTCTGAAAACTCCTCAAAGAGCTCAAGGTTGCATTACCATATAACCCTGCAATTCTACTCCTGGGGATAGGCCCAAGAAAAATGGTATGTACACATAAAAACTTGAAATAAGGATTTTCACAACATTATTCATAGCAGAAAACATGTGAAAACCATCCAAATGTCACCCATCAAGGGATGAATGGACACAAAAGATGCATATAGGTACACGATGAAATGTTATTTGGTAATAAAAAGGAATGAAGGTAAGACACTGACACTACTTGGATGAACCTTGACACAGGATGCTGACTGGAAGAAGCCAGTTCCAAAACCACCACATATTCTAGGGTTCCAGTGAGAGGAAGTGTTCCAAACAGGCAAATCCATAGAATAAGAAAGCAAATTAGTGGTAATGAGAGGCCGGGGGAAGTGATGGACTGTTAATGGTATGGGGCTTCTTTTGGGATGCTGCCAGCATTCTGAAATTGAATATTAGTACTTGCTGAATGATTCTGTGACTGTGCTGCAAATCATTGGCTTAACATGGGTGAACTGTTGGGCATGTAAATTACACTTCAGTAAAGTGTGTATCTACTTATCTACATGAGAGAGAAAACACAGGCTCTGTGGCCTCAGTTGAGTCGTCCGTCTACTTACCATCCGCAGGTTTTGAGTGGTTCTCGTTTCTACGGCTCTGAGGATCTCTCTGAATCTCCCGACTCCTCTTGTTAAGTTCCTGTAAGCAGACAGAATTTGATAGGCTTTCCATCTGGTGGGTATTAATATTAAATATTTTATACACATATTTCAATGCATTTAGTTTACATGAAAGCTGCTGGGTAGATTTTAAGCAAACTCTTATTCTGCACAAATCTGTCCATCTTTGTTCTTGTTGGAAATGAGCCTGACCTAGAGTTGATGCTTTTACATGCTTTATGCTCCACAATCAAAACTTCTCAAGAAAATAAAAATCTGAAAATTAGTTTTGAGGCGGAAAAAAAATCAAAGCAAGCTATTATTTAAGGATCTGTCTTCAAGCTGCCAATGCCCCTGAGTTTTCCTGCTCCATGAATGCACTGAAATCTTCTCTTTCCATTGAAAAGGGGGAGAGGACAGAAGAGAGCTCGAACAAGGCAAACCCACATGGCACTTGCAGTGTGCATAAAAGCAGGGATTTTTATGGGCAAGATGAGGGTGAGAGGAATGGAAAAGGAGGCGCTCCATGAAGCCACCACTGTGCACCTCAGAGAGCATACAGCACGGCCCAGGAAGCCCACCCACAGCCACCCAGCCCAGCCCTGCTCTGACACAGGTCCAGGCCCCCGCGAGAGTGAGTGTATACTGGCCAGAACCCGAGGCTGCCGGGCTGGGATTAGAACACAACTCATCTCACTGGCCCACCTCCCAGAGACAAGTCTGGTGACACATTTCGTTAAGGGACAAATAACTCCACTAATATCCTGGTCAGTGTAGCCAGGCCCTGTTCGATGTTCCCCCTCCGAGTCGGGGTCTGCCTGTGCAGCCCGGAGACTTCCCAGCCAGCTCCCGCATGCTAAGCATGGCCACCGCCTATGACATAACTCAGTGATATTTATAACCTGCTCATTAGAACACAGCTCATGTTTCCAAAGGGCCTCCGTGTGGGTCAGCCGGCGCAGGCCTGCCAGCCAGCCCCCAGGTGGTGGCAGATGCTCGAGGTATTTGGCTCTCTTCTCGGATGACATTTTAAATCAAGCAAAGGTATTAATCAAAGTGACTGCGGTTTCTATCTGTTACGAGCACTCACAAGGACCATTAATTCGTATCTTATATCTACTGCCATCCCAGAACTCTCATTCACAGGCACAGCCCCAGAGCTTCAAGCTAATGGCTTATCAGCGCGGTGCATAAACACGCCCATCTTCCTCACCCACACACACCAGATGAGACCAGATCCGCGGCTTTATGGTGGCACTAAAAGAAAAGGATTGCAAGCAGTGCCCAAGGAAATCTAGCAGAGACATGATCAGGAACTAGCTGCTGGGCCCCAGGACACGCTCCCTGCCAATGCAAACGTGGGCCTGTGCGCAGGCTCAAAATCTGTGTGCCTTGGATGGAAGTGTCACGAGGAAAAGGAAATTGCTCCAGGTGAAAGAGAGATGAGTGTGGGTAGGGTGGCTAAATTTCTCCCAGAGCCACAGATGAAGCCCCTACACTGTGCAAAAGGAAGAGCATCTGAACTATATGAAGTGAGGGCGGGACTGAGGCAACCCGGCTGGCGTCTCAGCTTTACCAGGGCCCCCTGTCTGGCTGGCACAGGAGGGGTCAGACGTCAGTGATGCAACTCGGGGGACGCTGCGAGATGGGACTCGACCTCGCAGGGTGTCTCCTGTGCCCCCCAGCCTCGGATGCACTGACTTCTCCAGCTGTCAACAAGTTGCTGTGACATGGCAGGTCCCAGCCCCTATGGGAGTAACCCGGGGGCTTCTGTACTCTAGCACCTTCCTGGGCAAAAGGAAGGTGAGTTCTAAAACTGAAGTGCAATTCTAAAAGAACAAAATGGGAATACAAGAGCCCGGGTCTATGGTTTATATCATGAACACGCAAAGCACTTAATATCCATGTGAGCATATAAAAAACGAATTTTATGCGTGCCAGTGATCACAGCTAATGAGCACTAGGTCAGAACTGGAAAGAAAATCTAGAGCGCCCAGCGAGTGGTCGGGAGTCTGGGGGCCATGCCGCCTCGCTGCCTGGTGAGAAATCAGCTCCCCCGGAAGCCCAGGTGGCTTCTCCGGCGCAGGACCGGGGCCCTCTGGTGGAGGTCGGGGGAATCTCCCGCGGGCGAGGAGGCAAGACCAGCTGCGACCTGCTCATTCCCAAAGGACCAACACGCCTTTGAAGCAAATGTAAGTTGTTCTCAAATCGTGTTCAGTTTATTTCTGGGAGGAGCACAGGATTAAGAATCAAATTCTCCTCAGAACTGGGAAGAATCGTGCTGGCAAAGGACCCACAGTGGCCACGGAAGGTCTCACGGGCCTGGGGCTCCGTGGAGGACAAGCAAGAGCCCCTGTCCAAGCAGGTCAGCCAGACAGCCAGAAGAGTGGCAGCCGAAGGCCGCACACCTCCAGTGGCAGAAGAGGAAAAAGTATCCCGGATGCAAAACATAAAATTCCCAGCATCTACTATACCATTCATATTTTTTTCAGACACATAGTTTGATTCTACCAATCATGTCTACTGTTGCCAGGACAACAGAAAAAACCCCATTTTTTAAACTAAATGGGCAATCATGATAGAAAGACAAAAAGGAAATTAACTTGTGAGAGCCATACTCTAAATGCTATGATGCACCCCAGTTTCAGGGAAATAAAATCCATAGGCTTGCTTTTAGGTCTCTAAACTATTAGTCATTTCTTAAACTGTTGTGATCAATTCATATCCATAATGAAATCTTGCTTTAAATTCTACTTCAAAGCAAAGAGAGGCAAGAAATTTCTCTTGAGTTTGAGTTTTCACAGACCCTCGACATGAAGTCATTTAATTCAACACCCTTGACCACGAATGCAATGACGTCAGAATTCATTATGGCGCATTAATCTCAAAACGACTGTCCTTGCCAGCCTCTGAGCAGTGGGCAAGCTGTCGGGACTTGGGGTTCATCTCCTGCACCTTGCTTCAGCCAGCTGAGCGGGTGCCTTTCCCTCCAGTGGAACGGTGCCACCAGCTCAGCTATGGCCAAGGACGCGGGGACTGGGAGCCCCCTGCAGCCTGGCAAGCTCTCCCCTGCCCACGTCACTGTCCATCTCTAACCCAGGAGGGGCCGCGCAGGCCAGGGCCCACAGCCTTGCTCTTGTTCATGCCCAGGCAGCCTTGTGCTCTGTCCCTGGCAGGAACGTCTACCCACTTTTTCACGGGACCACTTCCCGTTTCGCCCTGCTTCCTTTTCTGTCTGATTTCCTCCTCTCTGCCCGCCCCTCCTCCTCCAGGTCTGCGGGCTCTCAGAGCAGTGGGAAAGTTTGGCTTCCTGAGGCCGCAGGGAGGGTGCCCATGCCTCTGAACGACATCCTCAGCCCTCTCCTGTGCCCCCTGTGGCTCTGGGCTGTCAAGCCAAGGGGGCTGCATGGGAAAGAATGCAGAGCTCCAAAATCAAGACCAAAATGGAAAACCCAGGGTAGGAAATACTGGAGACTGAGAACCGCATCACGTCAAGAAGGGTGGTTACTGCAAAGCCCAGCTCATGATGTTGCTTTTGGTTATTTCTCTTTTCATTTAGAGGGGAGTAGAGTGGGAAAACACAATTCTCCCCCTTACCTTGTTCTTCCAAATTATCTTCTGACCTCAGAGTTTGGCCTCCAACACACTTAATTCAGCCTCGACTGTCCCTGTCATGAAAACTCAAAAGTTGTGATGCGAATAAAATCCTTTCTTATATTGGACATCAAGTTCCCCAGCTATGTTTTTTTTCTTCTCTGTAGTTGAGAACTTTAGAACTAAAGCTCAATTTCAGAATAAGTCAACACAATAGTCTTTTCAAGCTAAGAAATTCACTTTTTCTGCGTTTTTCCTTACCAACTAGCACTTCTTAAATGACTAAGCAGTAGGTAATTTCATCGACTTTTGAGGTGTCGGGTTCCAGACTCACCCCTGAGGTCACGACCTGCCCCAGGTTGCTGAGAGGGCTTCACCCCCCTCCCTGAGAACTGCTATCTGTATTTTGCTCACTGACCCATCCCAAGACCCTCAAACCAAGCCCAGCATACAGGGCACAGTCATGTGAAAGTCAGAGGCACTATGGGACGGTGGCCGATGGAGCTACATTTCCCGCCTTCCTGTCCCCCTCCTCCTCACCACGCTCACCAGCCACAGCAAGTGCTATATAGGATGCACCTCCAGTGGTCCCGCACACGGGGCAGGGGGAGCAGATGCGCCTGGACATGCCGGGTCACCGGAAACATCCTCAGGAGAGTGGTGTGGATTAACGAGGATTTTGAGGCTTAAACTTCCAGACATTTCGGGAAAACTTCCCTGCCCAGGTGCCCCGATACATGCTCCTCTCTCTGTCTAAAGGGCCCAAAGGATCTCTGGTCATCCTACCGGCCCAGGCCAAAGGCCACCCTTGGGAGCCTCGTCTGAGGTTCCCCAGGAAAAGAGACCCGGGTGCTGGTTCCAGGGGCTCCCAGCACAGATATGTGAGCAACACATTGATTTTTGTTTGCATTTTTGTGTGTTTGCCAACCAACCGTGACTGTGTCAAGAACAAAGCCCGGGTGCCTGACTCTTTTGCCCAAACTGCCTCACAAGCCAGCCAGTGCCCACAAGACAGGAAAGCGTGTTCTCGCCTCGAAAGGAAGAAAAGCTCAAGCACCATCTGAGGCTCTGAGATTCCTCTCCCTCTCCTTGCTGGGAACGTTTTCTCAGCTACAAAGGGGGCAGCCACCACCAGAGCTTTCTCATCAGGAGACACGCCCCTCAGAACCCTGGGCACCGCCAACCTTAAAGCCCTGGAAAACCAGAAACGTCCACGCAGCTCGAGGTCAATTTCTCTTAGTTCTCAGGCTTGGGAACCGCTACCTCTTCCTTAGGGCCTATAGTATCATGTCTTGAAAAAGTCTGCAACAGAGGGCCCTCCTGGTGGTGCAGTGGGTTAAGACGCAACATTACGAGGCCAGCCACAGCCGCTTCAGCCCAAGTTCCATCCCCGGCCAGGGAGTGACCCACAGGGCGCAGCAGACCTCTCCTGTTTCTTGTCTTGCC